TATATGCGACTAGAATTGGATTTTTAATGACAATTGGAGACAATCAGCCTACTGGTTGGGCCGCATTGAGGAGAGAATCTTACCAAATTAAAAGTGTGTTAAACGAAGGTCATTGGGTGTATAGTAATCTGCTAGAGGCCTGATTCTCTGAATCTTGGTGAGTATTAGCAATGGACGAGATTCATCAGAGACCTCAACTGCTGAGCCCAGCCTTAGCCTGAGAGAAGGCTCATCCTTTCTCACAGGAATGCTTGGCCACACGTCGCACAACTGATGTTCCAGAACCCGAACAGATATGACACGAAGTTTTGCCTCACCACCATATTTGCCGTGCCCCTCACCGACTACCACTACTCCACGAACCCCGAACAGATTCCCGAAGTAGAAGTGGTTCAGTAATAGGCCAGAGTGGAAAGTAACTCACCGGCTCTAGAACTCCAGACTTTCATGCTAAGTTATTGAATTGCATGGTACCTCGTTCGCAATGATGTACAGATTCCAATGGTTTTTATTTCGCTTTATAATCACGTGGAGCTGGGATGTCGTTTCAAGAACAAACGTCAAAAACCGACATTATTTTCCGGGCAACCCCATATTATTATTTCACTGCATAATGTCATATCTACTGATCCCATTGCCTTGAGGTCAATTAATGTTCCCTATTCAGTGTGTTTTTTGAGGCATTCTAAAAATTCTCAGGCAACAATCCAATATTCGGTAATGTAGATCAATCTGTCCCGTTAGCAACTCTCGAGAGTGCTACAGAAATGCTATTGTCGCGGTATAAAATGCGAAGGAGGCTAGATGCTCGCAAAAAGGGCAAATGGACGAGATTTCTCGTGCATACCCCGTGACACACAGCTTGGGGAACGACTCTTCGCTGACATCTGGCAGAGTATCCTTCTATTTTATAAAGCGCTAACTTTGTGTGTCGGTTTGTATGTCTGTATACTGAGAGATCATGTCTACCATCTCAAGGCGCGTAGCATATATTCTTAATTGAAGGTGTATAAGGTCACATGTCACGGACTCCCGCACCTAAAAATGGAGTCCAATCCCATAACCTCCCATTCGCGTAGTCGATGATATAACTGTCCATACACTGGTTTTTGCTTTTGACTCTAAAGACTCACAGTGTGCAGTTCTCGTGACTCGAATTCATAGACAGTGAGCTAGAAGCTCCCCTTCCCATTGCGTACGCCTCATCCGGAGATCCTTCCTCTCGCACCTGACCACAACCATGTAGCCTTTCCTTCGAACATGCCTTTTGCAGTGTGAAAACGCACATGAAATGGATTCGAAAAACAAGGCCAAAAAAGTCAGCAGTAAAAATCCAACCACTAAAACACTAATAAGACATGACTGCCAGCATGGAGCTGATGGCTCGGAAACGCCGCACGACTAAACCATTTCCCCATCCGAAGCACTAACGCTACTAATGAAGAGAGGTTTAAAAGGAGTCATTCTGGGAGTTTCTCCTGTTTCTGTGGATTGCGCGGAAATTATGCGAAATTCCACATATAGTTATTTGAGATAACCAAACAAAAACAACACCAGTCTAAAAGGTTCTCGAGCAGTACACTCCAGCCATGCCTTCACCCAGCTTCACCGAGTCTACGAGCACATGCAGCAGCATGCGGTTTTGAGCTCAACTTGTACTCATGTAACATTTTGGCCTTTTTTTCGCGTGGAAGCTCCATGGTGCGTGGCGAATACCAAGTGTTTCTAAATACCAAAATGGTTTATGTACAAAATCCGAAACGCCATGAGCTTCGGAAAAAAACGGTGATAATTTGCCTGTCGAGCGGTAATTATACTCCGTTTTTAGTTGCAATATTCATTACAGTGTAGGTAATCTTCGCACACTCTTTACTTCCAAGTGGAATGATAATAGAGCATCTAGTCGTAAAACGCCCTTGAAGGTAGAAGTTACAGTGAAAAATTAGCCCATTGGAAATAAGGATAGAGTGGTCAGGTGGAGCGGAAATGAAGAAGAAACCATTTGAGACGGCCCAAAACAAGGAAAATGGGATCTCTACTTGCCCGCTGATTTGCGCATGATGCGATTTGCCCTCCTCAATAGCCGACGCCTCCTCTCCCCGTCTAATCGTCGCCACGTATAGATTCTGGCCAGGCGAGCGACTTAATAGGCGAGTGGCGTACCCCGCCAACCGCGCCAAGTGTGAGCCATGCTAGATCGCCGAGGTCGAATCTTCCGCTGATGGGGTAACAGTGATCGATAATGAAGGTGGTTGTACGGAGTTTTTAAAAAAGAAAAGAAAAGCAGAAGAAACCGCCAGTGAAGGACTAACCTAACAAGGAACTATTCATTGCGCCTTGACATCGGCACCAGAGCGTGTACGCCCATTTCATGCACTTGTTTCCATGGGCTTCACTAGACGGCGCGTACAGTTGTTATCTCTAAGTGTGATTGGGCGTGTCACCGGAAATGAAGTGGCGGCCACCGCACTTGATAAATGTCATATTTATAAACCCAGATTAGTCCCCCGTCAACCGCCGGGACCTTCCTTTCCTGCGCAAGCTTTCTATCCTCCGCTATGGTCCCTTCCTCCTGTGACACCAACACCTCCTGGAAGTGACGCGTATGCAACACAATGGTGTTTCATACAGTAGAAGGGACACAATCATGATATGACGGTAGATTTTTCGCTTCCCTTCCTCATCCCCTTCCTCTCTCACTGCCCTCCAGCTGCCACTGCAGCACCATGTGGAATGAACGGAAGTGTGCTAAGCAGGTGTTTATATAGCCCTAAGAGTGTTATCACAACTATCCTGCTACAAAACATTGATATCTCAAATCCTGTAAGCTACCCGATTTGTTAGCGGTTTGT